AATTGGGGACAATCAATCATGCTTGTCTGTCAAGATTGTTTAATGATTAATTTAATAAATTTACAGCTTACAAAATATAATTTTAACATTATATGTATTAACAGAGTATTTCATTTTATTTTTAAAAATTAATTGAAAACAATTCATTTTCGTGTAATTTAATTTCGAAGAGACGCTTATGATAAGTTGAATGCAAACAAATGTCAAAGTAGAGGTTATCTTTCCTGTTTTGTCATCAAATATCTGTATTTTAATTAAATTGCACTAAATAACAATTGATTAATAATTTATTTTAACGCGAGAGTTAAAAAAAAGTGTTTATGTAACATAGGGGCTTAAACTAGAAGTATACGTAATGTAATTAGTGTAAGATTGTAGACGAATACGTCATCCAACTATGAAGCAGCAGTTTATGAAGTAAATTGATGAAAAAAATCGAAAAAAATCAAAGGAAATCAGTCACAGTTAAGCAATGAATATTAAATGCTAGATTGTAAATTTAGTAATTATATGAGTAACTACCAGCAATGAAGAAATTAACTGGTTCTTTCCGATATACCCAATGGGATCCATGGCTTATTGTTGCTCAAATTATTTCATTACAGTGTTTATTATACTTTAGTTTGGGACTAATATTAGCTATATTAGGCTATATTGCAGGTGATACGAGAACCCTGGATCATATATTTGAGTATCATGTAAGGACAAAACATTAGATTAAAAATCATATGTAATAACTGGAATTTTTCTTTATCTATTTTTTAGGAAATTCAGGTTCGTGATTTAAATGGCAAAATGGTTATATTATCCTTTGTACTTAACGCGTTGGTTGGGTGAGTATTTTTTTTAAATTAAATGCAGTGTTTTCATTTATCGGTTTTGTAGAGCTGTGGCCTTGTGGTGGATAGTAGAGAAAACAAAACAGTGTTTAGATTTTAGTTGCACTTGGCATTTTATTCACCTTATAATCTGTTGGTGTTATAACAGCGAGTTTCCCACTACTTTTTCATGGTGGGCATTGAACATAGCTTGTGCAACTTTAATGTGTGTTTGTGGTGAATTTGTTTGCTTAAGGACCGAACTGCAAGCTATACCCTTAAGTTTAGGGCCTAAATCTGATTTGTAGCATTTGCTTTCCACCCATAACAACTTAAGATTTGTTAATGATTGTGTGTGCCAAACACCAATTAAACCCTTCAGTGAGGAACTTTTTGCAGTGACTAATCTCAGGTTAACAGATATCTACAATTCAATACTGAAACTATTTGTTAAGCATAATGTTGTACTAAATTGAAATTAAAAGTATGCCTAATTATGTAATTATGAAGGTGATACAGTACATGTGATAAATTGTAGACAAAAATTAAAAGATAACTAGCCAATTAAACGGTAGCTTTTAATAGGTTTATTGTATTAAATGTTAATATATCTGTCTCCATTTTATGTTCTTTTTGAATATTTAGTCTTTTGTAATTGTATTTTGTTTACCTTAAAAGAAAAAAAGGAATAAAAGAAGTAATACAAAATAAAATTGTTTTATTTTGACAAGTAGTATACATGTTAAAATTAAAATAATCTACTGAACACAATCATTCCATCAAAACTAAAACTAAGAAATAATTTAAACAATAAAATGAAGTATTATTAATAAGTGCTATATTGATCTATACAATCCATATCCCATGTATGATGCAGCTGCTGTACTATTTGTTGTATAAAAATAAGAGTTTATTAAATTAAATTTATTCTCAATATTATTAATAGTCGTTTTAAGTAATAAAATGATAAGTAAAGTTAGACGATGTCCTACAAAAAGTGGCAGTGACAAAAATTTGCAACAACAAATGTGCTAATCAACAGTGGAATGGGAATCCCGACCAGTCAAAACAACATGTTCATTTTTATATCGAACTAATTCTTTTTGTAAGTCCTAAAATATCACAGAAAAAAATTAAAAGGCATTATCAAAATGTAAAATGTTGAATGAAACTTACTTTTGGTAAAGTTTTTCTATTATGTGACCTACTATACAGCCTTACAATTTTGCTCAACTGATTATGGAGGTCCAATAAAGACTGTAAAGAATGACCGTCAGTCACTTCAACAACATGTTTTAATACTTCCCCCAGTTCTTCTTTATTTACATCTACATGCTTGCTGTCCTTTGCAATTTCATCTTCTGAAATTAAAAAAATATACAGTTACTGCTGTTTTTGATTTAAATAATAAAAAAAAAAAAAAACAAATTACGTTCTTCAACCAGAGCCTGATCGATATCGTCAATATCCAGCAAAGGGTCGTCTAAAAGCTGCGAAGGGCTTAACAATTCATTTAAAATCTTTTTTGAACTCGAAGATCTACAAAATGAATTTAAAAAAGTTACGTAATTACAATATGAATAATTAATTATGAATTTACTGTAGTAGACTAGAAGGAGAGGTGGTTGTTAAAGAATCACAATTGATGCTTAAAGGGGCAGTAACTTCTTTGGCAGTGTTGTGCACTTGTACATTTTGGTGTTGATCTTCATCAGCTTGTAGCACGCTGTCAGAAAGACCGTCCGGTTTATTCTCCTTCGATTCGTCTCCAGAAGACCTATCATCGTTCTAAAATAAAAATAGAAATTAATGTTTAATTGCTAAATTAAAAGCGAAATACCTGATCATCTGCAGGATTTTCTGATAACACAGGTCTGTCCTTTTTCTTTTTCTTTTTTAAAATCCCTCTTTTCCAACTGGACCCAGCTTTTCTTTTCCTATTCGAATGAGTCAACTTAGTCAAAGGACTGGTTTGTTCCATGCACGAACTAACGCCATTCATGCTAATATCATGCTTTTCGTTCTTATCGTCTGATGCGTCTATAGATGTTACTTTTGTATCTGGAAAAGAAAACAAGTATAAATGACAATCAATTAAAAAAATGATTAATGTTTACCAATTCCAGGAGCTTGTATGTATGCCGGAAGATAATTCGTTACGCTAACTTTTCGCATTCTTCTATTCTTAGAAATTTCCTGGCAGGTATCTTCAAAATCGCTGTCCATTTCGTTTTTTATCAAAGCGTGCGCATAGTCTCGTAAGGAGCACGCCCTATGTCTTATTTGCTTATCTGCGGATGATCTGAAAAGCAAAAAATTTGGCGATTTTAATTAAGCAATCTTTGTTAAACTTACTTAGCAGGATTATATTCCAACGCATTTTGAACAATAAGCTCGATATCGTCTAGAAAGTCTTTGGCACATTCGTATCTATAAAAATCAACTTTGGTCATCATAGTTTCCAGATCCATCGGTTGCTTAATAATAGATGTATAATCAGGAACCTCGTCTGTATCGACTGGTTTTGTAAACATATAAAATCTTGAAAAGAAGAATTTCATTTAACACTTTTGTCTTTCAAAACCAAACACTTACAATTTGTTGTTTGCCAATTTTCTGCACATATCTCTTAAGAATATTCGAAGCTCCATAAGTGTTCTCTCCTCCTTTTCGAAAAGTTTCATGGCCTCAGTTTCGGTCAATGGCGTAGGAGGTGGAGTCGGGGCTCGAGGTAAGGGTGGAGGTGTGCTAGGACGTTTTCGAGGAACCCGCGGAGCTTTCGACGCCGCTTCAATTATAAGAGGCTTAAAAAATTCTTTGCGACTGGAGCTGTCCGGAGGCCTTAACGTTATCACTTCTTTACGATATTGTGAAAATATGTTTTGAATCTTTAAAAAGATTTATAAAATAAATAACAGTTACACTACAAGCTTATTCTTTTAGTTACCTGTTCCGGTAAGTTGCTATAGTTTGTGTCTGCAGTAGCTAAGATCAGAACGGGTATGTTGGGGTCTAATTGGGCTAGTTGTGACAAGAAAATCGCTTTTATAGTTTCATTTATCAGAAGCCAAAATTCGTCAATGCTAGGGATGTATATTGCACTTGGAACGTTTCTTCTCGCTTCATTAAAAATCTAGTTTTCATAATTAGAAATAAAAATCAATATTAATAGTTTCCTATTAATATTTACATAAACAAACACCTACCTGCAAGCACGATTCTTCTGGCGATTTCCCAGTTTCTTTGAAAAGAGAAGCCAAACTAAGTACATGTACGTGGATATGCTCCATATGGTGTAAAATGGCGGGGGCCAAATATAAGCTCTGACCATGTTTGGCACCGTCCCCGAGAAGCAAAAGTTGTGTAGGTCTTACACAGGCAGAAATTTTCACTCTAACGATAAAAGAAATATTTTTTAAACAATATTTTACTAAAAATAGAAATAATCAAAAATACTTGCTTTCCCAACTCCACGTTTAAGCCATGAGGAAAGGTCTGCTGAAGAACACTTAAGGTATTTTTGAGGGGTTCCCCTAAAAGGGGCTGTAACAAGGGAAGTAACTTCCTACCTACACCTTGAGCAATTCTATGTGAAGCAGGTACTAAAAGTGATTTGGCCCGTAAAAAGTCCAATTTTTCAACCTGAAACAAACAACTCTCTTTTAAGGCCCACGAAAACGCGCTGCTTGGCCAGGAGACCACTTTATCTTAATTATTTTACCTGAACTTTCTCCGAGTCAAGTAACAGTCTATGATTCGCCAAATAGACTTGTGGATACGTCCTCCTTAAGCTTTGTATAACAGCTTCGGAGCACAAGGCCCTTAAATCAGAACCACAATACCCAATGGCGCTTTCTGCAAGATAATCTATAAGTTCGTCGCTAGGGGGACGAGTCCACTGGGACACGTGTACTCTCAGGATTTCCACTCGTTCCTTCTTCGAAGGTAACGGGAAGAAAAGTTCGCGATCGAACCGGCCAGGTCTACGTAGAGCCGGATCTACAGCATCAATTCGATTTGTCGCGCCGATTACAATAACATCCCCTCTATTTGTAAGACCATCAAGGAGGGCCAGAAGGGTCGAAACTATGCTCGCATGAATCTGGTCTTGACGGGAAGAACGAACGGGAGCTAAACCATCGATCTCATCGAAGAATATTATGGACGGTTTCATTTCTTGAGCCTAGTAAAAGAAAGAATGTAATTTATGATAATAAATTTTCAGTGAATCAATAGTAGAAGCTCACCTGTTCGAAGAGAAGCCGAAGTTGTTTCTCTGATTCGCCAACCCATTTGCTTAACAGGTCAGCCCCTTTTCGAAGAAAAAAGGACACTTTACGCGACCCAAAGCTGCACTCGTTTGCAAGGGCACGAGCTAACAAAGTTTTACCGGTACCTAAAAAGATTTAATATCATTACCCTTAAAAGTAATCGCTTAAATAAATTAATACGGTCTTAAAACTAATTTGTGGAATGTAAATCATACCTGGAGGTCCATAAAATAAGACACCTTTAGGAGGTTCGATCTTAAACTGATTGAAAATTTCTGGATACATCATAGGCAGTAAGATCATTTCCTTAAGGCTGCGTATGTGTCCGTCCAGCCCCCCTACACTGCTGAACCTCACACTGTTGTCGATAGCTTCTGGATTAATAGGCATTGGCTTGCTACTTCCAGAACCCGATTTAATTTGTTCTGTTTTACCATGACCAGTTTTAGAACTGAAACAATATGTATATAACTGCATTGTATTTAAACACCATAAAACAAAAACAGAAAACTTACTTGGTCCTATATTTTGATGGTTTTCTACATAGCTCTTCTGAATCTGTGGAGTCTTCAGTTGAACTAGAAACTTTTCTTCGTGTTCTTCTAAGGGAGTAGTGTCTTCTGGTGTGTATTACTGGGTCTAGCTTTGAACGAATTACAGGTCCTTCGCGCACTATAAAAATAAAAAAGAATATTTTTAATATTCAGAATACAATATATTAGCTAAAGTTACTTACTGGCATTATTTGTTTTTTTTGGAACGCGTTCTCTTAATGAATACACACGGCCGCCTTCAGAAGAGCTCGAACTGACTGTAATAAATTAATTAAAATAATAAAATGTATAATAAAATAAATTAATTTAGAACTGCTTCCCAAATGTAACAATAAATATTCAACTAATACTTTTGACAAAAATAAAAAACTAATTAGGTTAACATATTTAAAAGTGTCAATTAAAAGGTCAAATCAGTGAACAATTATTTTGATACCTGACTCTTTTCTTTCATTTCTTTGAGTTCGTTCTGTGTACTTTTCTTCAGCAAGACCCCTGTTCACCATACGACGTGTACGAAGGACTCTACGTGCCTCGTTATCAGAATACTCCTGGTCAATTTCCTTTTTCTCGCCCTTTGGACTTTCTGAAAGCGAGAAAAATAATTCAGAATAAAAAATATATATACATTTGCTTCTTACCCTTACTTTCGACGTCGTTCTTCTTAGAATCCTCGGTTAATTTATCTTTATTTTCTGGCGTCGTTTTCAATTTTCCATTGGATCTGCTGACGTCGTTCTTATCCTTACCATCTTTCTCGTTTTCTTTACTTATAGTACTCCCTATTTTCGACCTCTTTCCTTCCTTCTCAACCATAACTTCAGCTTGTCCCCCATTACCACCTCTTCTGCATCTGTTTGTAGTTGTTTCAAATTCAAACATGTACTTCTTTGGGCATCTTAAATTCCTGCGTTCTCTCATGCCATTCACGACATCATGTCTTGAACTGTGTCGTGTTTCATAAATGATATTTCGATTTCTGTTTAAGGGAGTCTCCTTGGAGAAAAAAATATTTACATGAATAAAAAAGAAAATATATGTATTTGTTGGTTTTACTTGGGCTTCCCTACTATCTTCTTCTGAATATCCCCGATCGTCTAAATTCGGATATCCAACTTTAGAAATCTGATCGTCAGCTAACCAGGTCATATTTTCGTACTTCTGCCTTCGATTTCTCGCACTCCTGCGGACTCCCAAATCCAAATCACTCTCCTCCGAGTTGTAAGTGATGGGTGAATGAGGATCTGCATATGATTTAACAGTTATAGGTCGTAGAGATAATGCAGTCCTTCTTTCCATTCTTCCCAATGTAGTTTTAGTATGTCTGAGGCGTAGATGTCTCAGAGCCCTAATAATAAAAAAAAACAATTCATTAGTACATAAAAATAAATTGAAAACAAAAATATTATAAAATATACTTTGGATTATAGACATTATCTTCTGAATCGTTGTCATTGTACAGATCACATTCAGGATGCATTTTACGTGCTGCATATACTGATAGGCTGTGTCTATTGTCTAAAGTAATTCTAGCTCGAACTTCCTTGCTCCTTAACACTCGTGCTGTAACAAATGCAGAATATATAACTTTTATCATCCCTCGTTAAAATGAATGAACTTACAGGAGAATCTTTGCTCTTTAAATTTATTCCTAAGTTGCCNTCCCATCTAAATAAATAAAAACAATACTAAAAATAAGTGAGCGTATGCAAGGTGTTTCTTTACAAATTGTGCAATATTAGTGTTGTGTTTTTAAGTGCTGATAACAAACGATTACGGATAGTAGGAAAATAGGAAAATAGATTTTGAATTTTGTTTTCTTTAACATAACTACCACGAGCAATATAAATAATGAGCTGAATATTGCAGTCGCAATAAGCAATTAATTAATTATCACTCTTATTATCAAAACGTACTGTAGATATATAGCAAATAGATACTTAGGAGGGGAATTATTAATTAATTAACAGTTATACACATCTACATACATGGATAAATTAATTATTATTATGAATATATAACACTTACAACCATAGTTTGTGCATTTTTGTGCAATACTATCCAAAACATCGCTTTTTTCGGGTAAATCGAAGCAACATTTTACTAGCGACATTACTATTTATTTTTAATTTAATTAGCGGCACTTGTAAGGTTATTGTTATTAGTTAACTAGTTACAGGTAGATGAGGTACATAATAAATTTCGTTAGGTACCTGGATGGGTAGCATACGAAGACTATTGGTATTACCTTCTACCTATGTGTCTATTGTCTAAAGTAATTCTAGCTCGAACTTCCTTGCTCCTTAACACTCGTGCTGTAACAAATGCAGAATATATAACTTTTATCATCCCTCGTTAAAATGAATGAACTTACAGGAGAATCTTTGCTCTTTAAATTTATTCCTAAGTTGCCGTACCGGTCTTCTTGGCAGTGGTGGTTCAGACTTGGCATTATAGTGTAATAAACGTTTACTTTTTGTCGTCCACGAATTATTTTCTTCTTCCTCTTCCTGAGATTCGTCGGTTTCAGTATCACTCCCAGTAGATGTATCTATTACTTTACATTCATTTCCACTCTTTAACAGAAAAGTTTTTTTATTAAACTTATGCTTCATATAAGATTAAAAGTACAAACATCAAGACGCAAGAAATATTTTGTACCAATTTATCCTAAATATAACTCTTAAAGCTTTCATTGCTCTGAGTTATTACTAAACTTATGCAACATTTATTAATATTTATACTGCATAGACAGCTTTTGACCCTTTTGTTGTTGATACAATACAGAATAGCATATATTTAAGTAGCTCTTATTAATTAGGTACCTGTAAGGTTATTTAACTTATAATTTGGATATGGATCTCATAATAAATTAAGAAATATTTGAACAGTCTTAAAGCAAAAACGAAGGTAAAATAATGTTACAAATACACTCAAAAAACCTACCCTAGTTCGATGTCGTGGGACATTATCTGGTGCAGACCCACTAGACTCTTTTCTTCGAGTTTGTACCATTATGCTGATGTAAAAAGTAATGTTTAGCACTTAATGTTTTAATTAAAACAATAAATATTATCATCTTAAAAGCTGCTCAAAGCCATATCCAAGCAAAATAGAAGGGTATATAGACATCATGCAAATGAAAAAACTATAATTATTTACGTAAAATATTAATAGCAGTTGCATTTACAGTTTAGTAAGTAATAACTGCAGGCATTTAATAAGATAAGAGCATTCCAGAAAGGAATATTTGTAAACGATTGCAAAGAAAAACGAAATTCAAACCTTAAATACCTACACATCAACTGCCTGTGAGGGCACACAAAGCAAACTACACATTAATAAGCACTTAAACAAAGTAGAAACCAAGAAGATAAGTAAACAATAACACTTACATTATAAGTAAATTATACCTTTCTTCTATTTAATTTAAAGAGACTACGGTTTATTAAAATTTACTGTATTGAAAGACAACCTGAACCAGATACCGACTGTTATTTTAGAGACATACACTTTTACCAACTAGAAGTAATCAATACCAACAACTGTGTTAAAAAAAAAATACCAACAACAGCTGTTTTATTTCCAAGTATTAGGAATGCAGTATTTACTTTTTTAATGCACGTTATTAATTATTCACCAAAATTACAAGTCATCATATTTTTATAAAAATTTAATAATGGACAAAATACAAATACAAATGGACAAGAAACGTGAAGTTACTCTTACTAAGCATTAAATTGATTAACTTGCAATATGAGCTTGAACCTTGCCCATAACCATGTCTTTTAAGCAGTTTATAGGTAGGTCAGAAGAGAAACTTTATGAATGGTGATGTGGTATATCAGTGTGCAATGATAAATGAAACTTTCTTATCAAAAATATGTGAAAACAATAGGCCATAAATATGTTTCTGTACCTATTGTCAATTGTGTTGTTTGTTCTTTCAGAAGACAATATTGATATTGATTTTACACTTTGGTTGTCATGGTTATTGACTCCTTTGGTGATTACCTTCCTGCTCCCCCTTGTAATTGTGTTTTTGCTTTATACAACAGCTTTAATTTTATATATTTACAAATTGCACTGGAATACTCTTCGTAGCACTTATGCAACTGGTGGCCGTTGGGATGCTGCTAGGAAGACTGTTGCTGCCATATGGGATGCTCATGGGTGGATTTGGCATGGTATTTAATTTTTAATATCAACATAAAGATGTACTGGTTAATAAAACACTTATTTTACAGGATATGAAGTTAGAGGCATGGAAAATATTCCAGAGTGTGATTCAGCTTTAATTATTTACTATCATGGTGCTATTCCAATTGATATTTATTATTTTATGGCTAAAGTACTTTTAAATAAAAACAGACTTATTCATACAGTTGCTGACTACTTTTTATTTAAAATTCCAGGTAACATTTATTAGATTCTGTTTGTTATTTTGGGTCTACATACTGTTTTCCTTTTAAGGATTCCCAATAATCTCTGAATGTATGAAAGTTATACCAGGGACCATACAGACATGCTCTTCTGTCCTTAAAGAGGACAATTTATTGGCTATATCTCCTGGAGGTGTCTATGAATCTCAATTTAGTCATAATTATAATTTAATGTGGAAGAGAAGATTGGGCTTTGCTAAAGTGGCTTTAGAAGCAAAAGTGGTAAGTTAAAAAGTGCTATAGAAATATTTTGTTAATTATATGTTTGTCTTTAAGCCCATAATTCCCATGTTCACTGAAAATATTAAGGAGGCCTTTAGGACAGTTAGTATAGCAAAGAGAATATTTCTTAAGTTATATGCTTGGACTAAATTTCCATTTGCCCCTGTTTATGGGGGATTTCCAGTAAAATTGATCACCCATATTGGCAAACCAATACCTTATGACCCCAATTTAACACCTGAGCAACTGCAGGAGAAGGTAATGTTAGTTTTATTTATTTTTCTAATTAAACTAAAAAATAAATAAGAAACTTTCTGTCTATTATTTTACTCTTTATAGTCTCCTAGCGTCTTAATTAAATAATACATATTAGGTTGCAGCTATATTGAGTGATTTAATAGAAAGAAATCAAAAACTGCCTGGAAGCATCCTCAGAGGAATTTTAGAAAGATTACCCTACTTTAGGAAAAAAGAGAGACATAAATTTGGAGAAATTCATATTGAGTAAAATAGAATAAATAAATAATGCACATGTACTTAAAATGTAAAGTTTAAAAGATATTCTTTTCTTAAGTATTTGTAATACATTACAGTTTTTTATCTCTTATAGATACGTAATCCATATAAAATGATTTTATATATGTAATTACATTTTAAAGAATTGTTTTTAAGAAATCAATTATTTATTAATAAAATTAGAAAGAAAATCGTTAATCGTTTTTTTAGATTTTTTTTAAAATGAAAATAAAATCCTTTGATTTATATCATAACAAAAACAGTATTTAGGTAATTAAAAATTGTTTGAGTTCAAGTCCTCTTTAAAAATTTCTCTAATTTGAAATTGTTAGCACCAATCATTATTCTTAATTTCTCCTTAATTACTTTAAAATTGCTTTTATTCAATATTAGGTAAAATATCTTAAAGAGAACAGTTTTTTACTTAATATTAAACATCAAGTTAAAAAATTATTGTGAATCAGCTTTATTGTTATATAAAGAGCTAAAATATATTTATTTATATGCAAGGGGTAATCTCTAGGACTGCTGAACCAGTTCTAAATATAGAAAACACTGTACCTAAGTACAAATGCAGTAATAAATTAATAAATATGATACTTTGGTCTCCTCAACTGTTGAAAAGGAAATGAAGGAATATTATAATAATTAATAATAAACAAAATCTCAAACCACTGCACAATTTTATTACTTTCAATTTTCCTTCCAAATTCTGGGTCTAGTTTCACATTAGCTAACTGCAATTGGGCTACTTATAGAACATTTCTTTTAAGCAAAATATGAACTGTATACAAAAACANTTTCAAAAAAAAAAAAAAAATACTTAAAATAATAAACAATTACAACAGAAATAAAGTTATTGTATCCATTTCTTGAATCTTAAAAGTGAAAACTGTTAAATGCAATTAATGGATTGTATGATGCAGACATCATTAACAGACTATTCAACTTTAAGTAGTTCAACATCAAAAATAAGGGTTGCATTTGGTGGAATAATTCCAGGATGTCCCCGAGAGCCATAAGCATAGTCTGGAGAACAAATTAGTTTGGCCCTTTGACCAACACTTAACTGTAAATAAGAAATCATAATTAATTTGGGAGTCATCTCAAAAAAAAATGTAATAATTGTTAACTAAATAATCAGAAGTCAAAACAGCCTTAAGCTGCATCCCCTGACGAACTGTGGCTTCATTGATAATCAGAGCGCAAGGATGTTATCATCATAATGCAATTTTTTATAAAAGTATTTTATAAATGATCATATTAATGACTAAGTGTTAAAGTTAGTTACTTGAGAATGAAGCCATTTGTTGTTAATACAAACCTGTGCAACTCCTTCATCCCATCCTTTTATTACTTCTCCTTTGCCAATATGAAATTTAAAAGGGGTACCTCGGTCTCTTGAAGAATCAAACTTCTTTCCATTTTCTAGTGTTCCTGTGTAATGAACGACAACTGTTTGGCCGGTTTTTGGAAAAGTTTGTCCTACGAAAAAAATTAAAGTCTAACTACGAATTAATTAAAGATTAAATGCTAAAACAATTAAGATACATTAAGTAATGAAAAAAGCACGAGTTTGTACTTTTATGGGCACTCACCATCTCCAGGAGAAATGCTTTCGATTTGAACACCCATTATTTTAGAAACTTTACACAGTTTTCTAGACGGTTACGTATTTAATTAGCAAATAACAATTGTATTTTAAAACAACCGTTCTAGTTTAAATGTGAATGAAAATACCGAATTAAAAAACGACACCTTAGTCTGGCAAATCCAAAAATAAATGGCGTCATTCATGATTGCCAAGTTGAACACTATTCTCTATTTTAATTTTACTTATTGAAGAATATTATTTGGTTTCGATTAAAATATTATTAATAACTATTCTAGCTACATTTACTATTTATTTTTTATGTGCAGTCAAATCCTAATTAACATTAACAATTTAAATTACATTACATTTAAAAGGCAACGTTGCTTGATTACTTTTTATTTAAAACGCGCTATATTCAAATTAAAAACTTAAATGTATTTAATTAAAACAAACTAAATATCTATTGTAAAATAAAAATGTTAGATTTTTTTAGGAAATATATAACTATTTATATTTCAATATATAATTTAATGATGGGATGCTGCTAGGA